TTATATTTAAATTAGAATGCAGGCTTAGCTTTAGCTTGGCGGATTTGAGAAATTAGTCTTTGGTGTTTGCGATATACTGTATGTACCATTTTATAGAAAGGTTATTTGACTTTTTCTTTTATATGGAAATGATACACACTGTTTAAAAAGCTTACAATGGCAGCAAAGACTACCTTTCTTCTCCTTAAGCCTGTTACTCCCTAGAGTCTACTACCGTTAAGTTTATTTTTAATTACTGTTTTCTTCTAAAAAATTCTTCCCTATTCTAAGATTTATTAGTATTTAAACATTTTCTAACTTTGACCTCTGAAAAATGGGGAGAGTGGTCTGCTTATACTTTAAGCTCTTAACTGCCCTCTCCTTTGTCTCCAGGATGTTTTTTATTAGCAGTGCCTCTTAACTCTGTTATTACAGGTGAGGAGTTTAGGGCATTTGTTCTTTAATCTTTTCTTTTGTCTTCTTGCTTTCTTTTTTTCCTTTGTCATCTTATTATTTTTACTTTGTGTCTTCTTCGCTTTTTATATAGAGTAATTCTGTCTTTACATAGAGTGATTCTGAAAGTTGAAAACCGAAAATTAATTGATTCATTCATTTTGCTTATAATATTGATTCTTTAACATTGGATTACCCCAAGGCCATGAACTTGGGCCTCTTTTAGGTCTATACAGATTCCCAAGGAAATCTCATGCAGTTATACAGTTTTAAATTTCATTTGTATACTAGCTCCTAGTTTACATTTTTTTCTATCCTGATCTCTCTCCCTCACATCTGCAGGTTCAGTTGCCTCTTTGATATCTCCGTTCAGATGTCTTGTTATCTCAAAGTGAACTAGTCTAAAAAGAGCTCCTGCTATTTGTCCCTTTCCTCCAAGTCTTCTTACAGTGTACTGCGTATCTCTTAATAGCAGCTTCATTTTTTAGTTGCTTAGAGCAAAACCGTTAAGTTACTATCTCTCATATTTTAAAATGTATACCTTATTTCCGTTCATCAATAAGTCCTTTGGCACTGTCTTCAAAGCATGGAAAGAATTTGACGCTATTCACCATGTCTTCTACATCTACAACTATTCTGGCACAAGCCACCATTGTCCCTTGCCTGGATTTTGGCAATAGCCCTGCTTTGTAAACTAGTGGCAGGCAGAGTGATCCTGTGTAAGTCAGATCCTACCATTTCTTAACTTTCCTTTCCAAAGTAGCTTCCCATCTCATTCAGAATAGAAGTCACAGTCCTTTGAGGCTGTCTATGGTTTGGATAAATTAGATGCTGATAAAAACATTTGAGGTATGGTGAGGAAGGCTGTTTCCAGCTTTCAGATTAGTTGTTGTGATGATTTAATAGTTGCCTTATAGTACCAACACGGGTAGCTGGTAGGGAAGTGTTGGGTGGTCACTGCAAAGCTACATGTTTGTCAGAACCCACATATCTGTTCCCTGCCGTCAGAAGAAGAATGTTCTGGTTTCTGTTTCTCTTCTACCTTCCAAGTATTATGCAGAAGCATTGCACTGACTGAATATAAATCACATCTAGAATCCCAGAGACAAAGACCTTTGCAAAATGTAGTTCTTATGCTTTTTTAGCCTTTGTAATATATAGAGGAGTGGATAGAAGGTGGTGAGAATGAATGATGAAGTAAATATATCTACACCTAGATAGATAAGATACATGAATCCATACATAAATATTGGATTAGTCACTGTTCTCAAACAGAACCAACAGGATGCAGATATATATAACGAGGTCATTAGGGTGGGCCTTAATTCAGCGTGGTGACTGGTATCCTTATAAGAAGAGACAGTTCAGACACATAGGTCTCTCTCTCTCAATAGACTGAGGGCTGACAAGTATGGAATTTGCATGACAGGCTGGAAACCCAAGGAAGACTTGATGGTTCAGTCTTGAAGCCAAAGGCAGTCTGGAGGCAGAATTTCTTATTATTTTAGAGGACCTCAGTCTTTTTTTTTGTTTGTTTGTTTTGCCTTCAACTGATCAGATCAAGCCCATACACATTATGGAGGAGTAACCTGCTTTACTCACAGTCTACTCATTTAAATGTTAATCACATCTAAAAAATATTTTACAGCAACATCTATGCTGGTGTTTGACCAAACAACTGAGTACCATAGCTTATTAACCCAGTTGATACATAAAATTAACCGGCATGGTCTATCTCTTATCAGTTTGGCATCCATTCATATCTCTTTAAACCATATTGTTATGAGCTGAATTGTGCTCTTATTTCCAAATTCACATTTAAGTTCCAACCCCAGAATGTGACTGTATTTGGAGATAGGGTCTTTTGAGAGGGAGTTAAGTTAAAACGAGGTCCTTAGGGTGGGCTTTTAATTCAGTATCACTGGTATCTTTATAAGAAGAGGAAATTTGGACAGGGACATGTACAGAGGATACACCATATGAAGAGCCTGGGAGGAAATCGCCAACCACAAGCCAAGGACAGAGGCCTCAGGAGAAACCTAAGCTGCTGGTCCCTTGACTTTGGATTTCTAGCCTTCAGACTTATGAGGAAGTAAAGTTCTGTTCTTTAAGCTACCAAGTTTGTGGTACTTTGTTATAGAAGTCCCAGCAAACTAATAACCATACATGATCTCCAAATAAAGGCAATAGCAAGGTCATCTTGTATGCAGTGTACTAACTCATTCCCCTAAAGAGGACATAAAGTGCGTGGGTGACGTTCATTTTTCTTGTTATCTTATAACTGAAATAGTATGATATAGAGTTAAAAATACTTAAATACCACGATTAAAGTCAGTACATCTTATATATGTTATATAAGGGAATAAGAGAAGGAAGAAAACAAAAGTTTGTACATAAGCATATTCATTAAAAAATACAGAAATTAAACTTGAAAGAAAAAATACAGAAATTAAACTTGAAAATTACTCATCGACTCAGGATCTGCACAATGGATGTTGTGCTAGCAGGCATGAAAACAACATTAATCCCCTTGTTTATCTCCATCAGAGGTCTTAGGTGAACAGGTACATTGTCAGTGAGCAATAATATTTTAAAAGGGATCTTTTTTCTGAGCAGGTCTCAACAGTGTGCTTCAAATATTCAGTAAACCATACTGTAAATTATGTGCTGTCATCTGGGCTTTATTTCATTTATAGAACACAGGCAGAGTAGGTAGAACACAATTCTTAAGGGCCCTATGATTTTTGGTTTGGTAATTGAATATTGGCTTCACTTTAAAGTTAGAAGCTGCATTGCTAACTAACCAGAAAGTCAGTATGTCTTAAAGCCAGGCAGTTTCTCCTCTCCAGCTGCGAGAGTCCTACATGTCATCTTCCAGGATAAGCCCATTTTGTCTACATGGAAAATCTTTGTAAAGTGTGTCCACCTTCCTCAATGATCTCAGCTGGAGCTAGACAACTTGCTGCAGCTTCTTCATCAGCACTGTACTTCACTTTGTACTTTGATGCTACGGAGATGGCTTCTTTCCTTAAACCTCTTTTCTCTGCAGCTTCCTCACCTCTTTCCGACATCATAGCATTGGTAGAGTTAAGGCCTTGCTTTGGATTAGGATTTGTCTTAAGGAAATTTTGTGGTAGGGTTGATTTTTCTATCCAGACTGCTAAAACTTTCTCCATATCAGTAATAAGGCTTTTTGCTTTCTTATCGTTCATTTGTTCACTGGAGTAGTAGTTTGAAATTCTTTCAAGAACTTTTCCTTTGCATTTCCAACTTAGCTGGTAAAAGAAGCCTGGCCTATCTTTCAGCCTATCTGGGTTTTGGAGTGCCTTCCTCATTAAGCTTAATCATTCTAGCTTCTGATTTCAAGTGAGAGAAATGCAGCTTTTCTTTTCACTTGAACACTTAGAGGCCATTGTAGGGTTATTAATTGGCCTATCTCAGTATTGTTGTGACTGAGAGATAAGGAGCAGAGAGACTGGGGAATGGCTGGTAGATGGAGCAGTCAGAACAAAAGCACCGCATTTGTTAAGTTTGCCATCTTATATGGGTGAGATTTGTGCTGTCTTACAACAGTTATTATACAATAGCAATAGCATAGATTACTGATCATAGATCACCATAACAGATATAATAATAATGGAACAGTCTGAAACAATGTGAGAATTACCCAAAAGTGAAAGAGACATGAAGTCAGCTCATGCTGTTAAAAAATGGCACTGAGAGACTTGCTTGATACAGCGTTGCCACAGATGTTTAGTTTGTTAATAAAAGACAACTGCAATATCTGCAAAGTGCTAGACAGCAAAGCACAATAGCAATGAGGTACATCTGTATAAAAGCAATAAAATATCTGTGGTAAAGATGGGAAAATACAGAAGCACAAAGAATGTAAAATATTCTGTCATTTGCTTTTTACAGATATTCATCTTTCTAGTTTAGAATACACAGATGTACCTTATTTGAAAAAAAATTACTACGTGATAATCTGTGGTATGTTTATAGTATAATTTAAAGAAGTGCCTAATTATTGACATAAGTGTTTCTGACTTTTCTCATCATACGTATTAATCTGTGTTGGATGTGTTTATTCATATATCTTTGTGTGTTTATATGCCTACAGAAAAATTTCCAGCTTTGAAATTGTTAGATGAAAGCATATATATTTTAAATTATCCTTCAAAAGGGGTTTTGATTTATATTTGAATCACAAAAGTATATGAGAATATGTTTTTCTACATTATTTTCGATGTTGGATTTTACCATACTTTTTAGTTTTTTAATCAATGTAATAATAACTCATTCATTGTAAATAGATTCAAGCATTCTTTTAAATTTTAGACAATCTCATGTGTTAACTATTTCTCTTCTCTTGGAATATTTTTTTCTTGTTTCATTTTTCTCTGAACCATTACCACTCACAAGCCAATATCAAAATTTGTTTTTTCTAATATTGGATTTCCCAATAACCTTAGCTTAACATGATTTCTCCCTCCTAATATACTTAATGCTTTATTTTCGACTTAGCACAGTTTTGTACCAGTCCTAATGCATATGATTTATTCTTCTAGGATTTGCAGATATTCAGGATGGCTGAACAATAATAGAAAGAGAAGCATAAACCTATCTTCTTTCATTATGGAGACAGGTTTGGCAGATGGAGAGCCTGACCGAACTTCGGTGAGTAGTTCAAATATAGCATAATAATTCTGTGACATCTCCTTTTATTCTTCCTGCCCTCCTGACCATATAGTATAAAACATATTGATATGACAATTTGTGTTTCTTTTCCCCCAAAAGCTTTGTCTTTAGTGAAATCAAGAGTGTGTTGATTGTTGAGGAAGTTAAATGCCTCCATATCTCAAATCACATGCAACTATGAGCAGATAGAGGCAATGAAACAGTTGGAATAATGAAGAAATAACAATTGCATATGTATTTCTTTTATATATTGAATGGAACACTGGAAATTTTTCTGTAGGTATATAAACACACACTGGAAATTTTTCTGTAGGTATATAAACACACAAAGATATATGAATAAACACATCCAACACAGATTAATATGTATGATGAGAATTTATATATATTCTTAAAATATAAAGATTTAATAAACAGTGCTGCCTTGTGATCATGATTAAGTTATATTCTAAAATTAAAGTAAATAAGTAAGGGTAGTGGGTAAAATATACCTTACCCAGTGAATTTTTTTCAAAAATCACCAGTAGGGCAGATTAAATGATTGGTTAAAGTACAAAAACATTCTGCTCCAGGATAATTTCGTTTTTGTTCTCTTGTTGCATGTTGAGTGTTCCAGTCAATACAGTTTTATAGACCCTCTATTAGAAAAATCTTCTGTTACCTAAAGCTGGTACCTTTATCATTTGTTAGGTGGTAGATTATTTGATAAATTCATATTGTTGGAATAAGGTGGAAGCCAACTTTTCTCTCATTCATATTGCCACAGACTGGAAAGTCACTGTATTGAGGTGTTTGTAAGTTTAGTGAATGTCTTTTCTTCAGTCTCCAGTGTGGGCACAGTCTAATGATAGATGGCAAAGTGCACTTTTACTGCCTTGTGTTAACTTTGTCCCAGCCTTTCTTGAATTTCTGGTTAAAAAAAGTTAAACTTTACAATGATAACTTGTTAGTACAGTGTGAGGTGGACATGGAAATAACTTGGCTGATGAATGTTATTGTCAGGGTGATTATAAATGGAAAACTGATGGTAGGTTATCTTCTTTTTACTATAATTTCAGAAAAAAGTTAAGATTAAACCTTGTTCATAAAACAATGTTTTTCATAAACCTCATCTTTTTTTTTTAAGCTAATGGAGTTTCATAGGCTCTTTTAGCTGAAATATTTTTGATCTTCTAATGGTAATAAAAATGTCAGTAGTAACTACAGTTTCTATTTTCTAAGTATATACTTTGTCATAACGTCCATTAAAGGAAGATATTTGTTTATCTTAAGTTTTATCTTCTAAAATCGCAGTAGCTTGATTTTGACTGTGTACTTACCTTTCTGAATAGAGTTGCTTGGAATTTATTGCTACCTTTTAAAGTAGGTATCTATCTAAGTAAATGGTATCAAGATTAATACCAGAATCCCTGGGCTGTAGTAATAAAGGTTTATTTATTTTGTAGGTTTATTCTAAATTTTGTTGAAATCTAGGAATTAAAGTGATTACAAAGTAGTGAGAATAATCATCCTTTCTTGTTCATTAAATTTCTTCTGTGAAATATTATAGCTCATTTTAGATAGAATCCTAATACTTTCAGTGTGAACTACTAAAATATTCTGTATTTGAAAGTAATGTTGAGGTCCACTTTTGCATTAACTATTTATAAAATAGCACCTTTGAACTGCATGGCCTAAGCTAGTTACTCTTTAGATCTAGGAGAGGTGGATAAGAACATGGACTCTGGGCAAAAAGAAGAAAAAAAAGAACATGGACTCTGTAAGACATTTGGCTACATTCTTTTTTAAACTTAATTTTTATTAAATCATAACTGTATACATTTATGGGGTCTAATGCGATGATTTGATATACAAGGTGGAATGTTTAAATCAAATTAATTAACATAATTATCACCTCACTTGTTTTGTGGTAAGATATTTATAATATACTCTTAGTTGTTTTGAAATGTACCCTTGCATTGTGTACATTAGGTAAGATCCCACCAAATACCCCCCCTCTACTCGTCCTCCCTCTCCTCTCTCACTCATCTCTCCTCTCTTTGTGGACTGTCTTTGTGTTTTATCATTCATATGAATGTATAAGTGTATCTATATTTGTTTCATAATAGCATTGAGTACATTGGATACTTTTTTTCCATTCTTGAGATACTTTACTAAGAAGTATATGTTCCAGCTCCATCCAGGTTAACATAAAAGATGTAAAGTCTCCCTCTTTTTTATAGCTGCATAGTATTCCATGGTATACATATACCACCATTTGTTTATCCATTCATGAGTTGCTGGGCATTTAGGCTGGCTCCACAACTTGGCTATTGTGAATTGGGTTGCAGTAAACATTTTGGTGCAAATGTCTTTGTTGTAAAATGACTTTTGTTCATCTGAGTAGATATCTAGTAATGATATTGTGGGATCGAATGGTAGATCAACTTTTAGTTCCTTGAGACTTCTCCATACTTCTTTCCAAAAGGGCTGTATTAGTTTGCAGTCCCACCAGCAATGTAGAAGTGTTCCTTTCTCTCTGTATCCATGCCAACATCTGGTTTGGGATTTTGGGATGTGGGCTAATCTTCCTAGGGTTAGGTGATATGTTAAAGTGGTTTTGATTTGCATTTCTCTGATGATTAAAGATGATGAGCCTTTTTTCATTTGTAGGCCATGCACCTGGTCATCTTCAGAGAAGTTTCTGTTCAAGTCTCTTGTCCACAAAAAATGTTTTTTTTGTTCTTATTGATTAGTTTGAGTTCTCTGTGGATTCAAGTTATCAGACCTTTGTCAGAAACATAACCTGCAAAAATCATCTCCCATTCTGACCTGTCTGTCTGTTTGCTTTACTTACAGTGCCCTTAGCTATGCAGAAGCTTTTTAGCTTGATCAAATTCTAGTAATATATTTTTAGTGTTGCTTCAATTGCCAGGGAGGGTCTTTCTCATAAAATTTTTTCCCAGGCCAATTTCTTCAAGTGTTTTACCTATGCTGTCTTCTGTTATTTTTATAGTTTCATGTCTTAAGTTTAAATCTTTATCCAATAAGAATCAATTTTTGTTAGTGGGGAAAGGTGAAGGTACAGTGTCAGTCTTTTATAGGTTGCTAACCAGTTCTCTTAGCACCATTTGTTAAATAAATAACAAATTTATTTTATAACAAATAATTTGTTTATTTTAATAAACAAAATTTTCGGATTCCCTATAAAACAAAGTACTATTTTTTCAAGTTCTTTAAAGTATGACATAGGTGCTTTGATAGAGATTAAATCTGTAGATTGCTTTCGGTAGTGTGGACATTTTAACAGTGTTGATTCTACCAAGCCATGAGTATGGTATTGTTTTCCACTTGTTAACATCTTCAACTATTTCTTTTCTCAGGATTTCATAGTTCTCATTATAGAGATCTTTCACTTCCTTTGTTAGACAAATTTCCAGTTATTTCATCTTCTTTGGCACTACTGTAAAAGGAATAGAGTCCTTGACTATATTGAGTCCCTGGAGTTTTCCTGGTGTAAAATCATGTCATCCACAAAGAGTCAGTTTGATCTCCTCTGACCCTTTTCTTGCCTAATTGTGATAGCTAGGACTTCCATTACAATGTTGAATAGCACTGACAGTGGGCATCCTTGTCTAGTCCCAGATCTGAGTGGAAATGTTTTCAATTTTACTCCATTCAAGATGATATTGGCTGTGGGTTTGCTGTAGATGGCCTCTATCAGTTTAAGAAATGTCCCATCTAAGCCTATTTTCTTAAGTGTTCTAATCATGAAAGAATGCTGGATATTATCAAAACCTTTTTCTGCATCAATTGATAGAATCATGTGGTCTTTATTTTTTATTTACGTGGTGTATTATATTTATAGATTTACGTATGCTGAACCAAAATTGTAACCCTAGAATAAAACCAACTTGATTTTGTTGTATAATTTTTTGGATGTGTTGTTGAATTTTGTTTGCTCGAATCTTATTAAATATTTTTGCATTGATATTCATTAATGATATTGGTCTATAATTTTCTTTCCTTGTTGGGTGCTTTCCTGGTTTGGGGATTAAGGTGACATTTGCGTCATAGAATGTATTGGGGAGGATTCCTTCTTTTTCTGTGTTTTGGAAATAGTTATGTAATATATGTACTAGTTTGTCTTTGAGGGTTTGGTAGAATTTTGATGTGAAGCCATCTGTTCCTGGACTTTTCTTTTTTGGGAGATTTTGTATAGTTGATGCTATTTCAGTGCTTGGTACAGGTCTATTCAAAATTTCTAATTCTTTCTGGTTGACTCTAGGAAGGTGGCATGTTTATAGGTATTGGTCTGTTTCCTCCAGATTATCATATTTCTGAGAATAGAGTTTTTTGTAGTAAACATTGAGGTTTTTTTTTGAATTTCTGTAGTATCTATTGTTATTTCTCCTTTATCATTTCTGATTGAGGTTATTAGAGACTTTACTTTTCTGCTTCTGGCCAGGTTAGCCAAAGGTTTATCAATTTTATTAATGTTTTCAAAGAACCAACTTTCTGTTTTGTTTATCTTCTGAATCATTCTTTTGTTTTCAGTTTCATTTAATTCTGCTCTAATTTTCTTTTCTTCTATTGGGTTTGGGGTTGGGTTGGTCTTCCTTTTTAGTTGCTTGAGATGACACATTAGGTTGTTGACTTGCTTGCTTTCTGTTTTCTTGATGAAGGCTTCTAATGCTAAAATTTTCCTCTTAGGACTGACTTTGCAGTATCCCACAAGTTTTGATAATTTGTGTCTTTTTTATCATTTTGTTCCAAAAAGTTGATGATTTCCTTCTTAATCTCATCTTTGAGACAGCTATCATTCAGCCTAAGGTTAGTTTCTATGATTTAATGTTTGAGTATGAATATTTCTATTGCTGTTGAGTTCAACATTTATTCTATGATGGTCTGAGAAGATACAAGGATAATTTTTGTTCTTTTAAATTTGTTGAGATTAGACTTGCGTCCTAAGATATGATCAGTTTTGGAGGCTGATCCGT